AGGGTGATTAGAATTATCTTGTGAGGAACTGTTGAGAGGGGTTATGTGAGAGGCTTAGAGGGATCACACAAAGAGGGGGGATAGTGGACTCGGCTTGCTCTCTTTTGTGTCATTGTCTGTTGATTCAGTAGGTATATATAATATGTAGCTATGTCTTGGGTATGTCTGTTGCTTATATGCATCATTCCATATATGTTAACACTCCCCTTCAAACATATATTAGTTTAATAATATGTTTGTTTTGTGACTATTTGTTTATTTGATTTGTAGTTATTTTTATTTTTATTTTTAGGGGTAGTTATAGTGCTGCTACCACTCCCCTTCAAACATTTATAAGTTGGCCAGACCTATAAGATGTTTGATTTGCAGATTGTTCCAACATTTTTATTAGTATTGTATCTGCATTGTACATTGTGTCTGTATTATATTTGCTCATGTATCACATATAATAATATCATTTGTATAATATAAATGCATTGTTCGTATTGTATATTTTAGTCCACTGTGTGTTAACTTTGTGTGTTGTTAGATATCTATTAAGTTTTCGTTCAGCATTGTGTTATTAGTTCTGTAGTTTGTTAATTGTTATATTATTAAGTCATTGTTTGTTGTCATGTAGACTGTTCAACATGATTGAAATTGTTTGGAGTTAATCCAAAGTTCATACATAGTTTACTGTTCAATGACAGTATTGTTTTCACAATAAATTGTTCGAAATCGTTATTAATATCATATGTGCTTCAGAGACCTGCAGAATCTCATGAGTACTGTGTAAGATTGTAAATCGTGTGTTTTATTTATTAAATTTGCTCGAGTATTACTAGTAATTTCTTTTTACTTTGCTGTGAAACTAATGAATCATGCTAGTAAAATGTATATCTGGTGTTGCAATGATATCCTTCTTTAATCATTGCTGTCTGTGTTTGTTTACGTTTGTATATGTGTTAAGCATTCAGCAATAGCTGATTTATGTCTTCAGATTGAAGCTTTGCATTGATTGTATGTTGTAATATTAATAATGTTATTTGTTTTTGCCAGATCACTTCATTCTGAGATCAATAAGGTTTTATGCTAACATATATTTGTTGTATAGATATTATATCTGGCTGTAGGCAGCTCACTATGTGTCTAGGTGCATTGTGTATGTATTATATCATGAATGTATTGTTTGTTCATTCACTTTACATTATCATTTATATTTATATATTAATGTTGCATTCTGTAATCGTTTCTGATACATTCTGAGTAACTATATGATCTGTTGCATTATTTCTTCAATAGCCAATGTAATTATCTGTTGTAAATCGTTAGTAATGTACGTTTGTATTATTTGTTATTAACAGTGTTATTGTGAATTGTTGTGATCATGATGTTATGAATATTTATTAGTATTATGGCTATTGTTCTTTGCTTTTTCTTTTTGCAAAGAATGATGTATTGTAACACAATCTACATATAATTGATATATTGGATTATGTTTACTATAATAGTCTCCTAGCATACTTTAGTTAATCTAGTGGTATGTGCAATTGTAGTATTTGTTCAACATTTTATTTGTTAATTGATTTGCTAGGTAAAACGTTTTATATATTGGTTTTATTTATTTTATTTGAATCATTGTATAGATATACTTATTAGTATCTATCTAATGTATTTCATAATGTTATAATGCTGTTCACACTTGTATTAATCACACAGTGAGGGCAAATTAATTGTTTGTACAAGAATTGATTTAATAGTTTTATTTAATTATATGTATACACTCTATACTTGTTTATATAGTTATTATCTTTGTATCGTTCAATTGTAGTTGTGAATTATATTGCAATTATATTCGTATTATTGTATGGATGTATTATTTATTGTTTTATGTATGTTCTGAAGTATTATTTTCGTTATTCATCACTTTTATCCATGAACTATAGTCTGGATTGATGAATTATTTTGTTATATAATGTAATATTTGTTTGTATTTTATTTATTTTTGTATTAAACTTTGTTAAGTTAATCAGATTATTATATTAATATTATTTGCCAAGTATGAGCATTCGTTTCATAGTGGAATTATTATTTATTTAACATTGAAGTTCAATTGCACATTGTGTTAACTTCTATTATTTGTTCTAATCAACATTATTTTACATTGTGTCAAATGATTTACCTTTGTGATCCGTTATATCTGTCTGTAACTTCTATTACTTATTGTTTTTTAGGATCAGTGATAAGATTGACATTTCCACATCATGAATATTCATTTGTTCATCTACAGTTTTGTATTGTAAACGTTTGCACATTTGCTGCAAAGAATGCTTTGGGAATATGTACCATTTCTAGGCTTTATTATTATTAATTTATTAATTATCTGTTTGAATAACTTTTATAAGCATTGAAAATGTTATGTGATGTATAACTTTTATATTCTTTAATAAGGTATTTTGTGTTTGACGGATTCGTCAGATTCATCACAGATTTCACTTAGTGACATAGTCAATATGTTTGCATTAAGAATTCAATGTTTATTATTAGCATGTATATTATTCAATTACTCCCCTTCAATTCAAGAAGGTTATTCTTTGAGTAATTGACAAGTAGTGTAAGTACATAAGTACATTGTTGATTTCCTTTCATGTATTTGTAATCCAACAAGTAGTGTTAGTACTTTGTTATTTTACTTTTGTACGTTTGTCAGTATGTGTTATAATATAACAGTATATTTTAAGTTAACTTGTGATGTTTGACATACATCATTTTGTTTAAACATTACACTGTAACATTGTACTGTTTGTTTTATAAATTTTAATGTGATGTTTGTAATATGTCTGTAATATTTCAGACGTGCTAAGAAATCTCTCTGTATGTTTGCAGTTACAACATTGGTTGCACATCTATTCATATCTCTGATAAGATGTAATAGATATGCTTACATCCACTTTTCTTTATATATTATACTGTCTGAGATAATGTGTTAAACGTTTTATTAATTTATTTAATCTTATTATATTATGATTGTTTTCGTTTGTAATCATTATAATAAGTGTGTCCATTGTAGTTTTTCTGTTGTTTGTTGTACTAGCCATATTGGCATAGTACTTCACTTGTATATAAGCTTTGTAGCTTCAATATAAGTTTATTTATACTTTGTTAAAGTATATCTACATTCTGTGCAATTAAATATGTTCTGTTACATTGTTGTAGTAATGGTAGAGGTATTATTCTACTGTTCACTGTTATTATACATTGTTATTATATGTTTACACTATCATAGGTGTAAAGTATTGTTATTTGTTTAAAGACTATAATTGTGTACTCGTTCCTGTACCATAGTTACTGTAATGTACTTTGTAACTTTATTATTATTGTTATTATTATTAATTTGTCTGTAGATAGTTGTATGCTTTCATAAGCTGTATTAGTGTGTAGATATCAGATGTCTTAGATATCAGATGGATATCTGCTAACTTGTTTTATCTCATATCCAACATGTCTAACATATCTGAGACATGTCTTACATTAATCATTTGGCTGTGATATTGCTATATGTGTTATTATTTTATTTATGCTATAATATATGTGTGTTCGTTGACAGTGTCTATCATTTGTACTATTATAATATTAATAGTGGATGAGTAGTGTTTGCTTTCTCAATCCTTCTAACGTTCGTCCATAGTATGATCAGTTATTTATAATAACATGATCTCTGTAATATTATAGAATATTTTAGTGATTAAATGTCACAGTAAGTGATACTCATTGTAGTTTCAGCATTGCCTGCATAGATTATGTTACTACTGGGCCAATGATCATAATCACTAAGATGACAATCATATAATGTCTGGGTCGTATGTAGTATGGTAGATTGTGTGTCTGCAGCGTATTGATTCGCGTTTGGGATACTCAGACAGGTGTGTCGAGTTCTGCATCATAGTATACTGTGTGCATGCATGCGATCTGTAGAGCTGCATGGAGCATAGACGTAGTAGAGTGTAGATAAAGTGTAGGCAGGGAGCTCAAGGCTCATAACCTGTTGAGAGGGGTTATGTGAGAGGCTTAGAGGGATCACACAAAGAGGGGGGATAGTGGACTCAGCTTGCTCTCTTTTGCATCATTGTCTGTTGATTCAGTAGGTATATATAATATGTAGCTATGTCTCAGGTACGTCCGTTGCTTATATGCGTCATTCCATATATGTTAACAGGAACAGTGAGTTTCCTTACAGCAAGAGAGAGCAATTGGAAGATTGTTGGATATGGAGCTGTGCAAGAGGTTAGTAGGGGTTTCACTAGAGTAAGTTCATCTCTCCTTTGTCAAATTAGTGCCTGCTGAGCACTGATTGGTGCTTCAACAGACTCTTGTTAGTATGTATGCTACAGGGAATGGGCACAACTCAACAACACCCGCCTACTTCAGCGATTTCACGTATGATCCTGTGCAGGGAGTATTCTGACAAACTACTACAGCAATTAGTCAGAAGTTTTTATTCATGATTGAGAAGGCGATTAACGTGGGTACAATACGTGGAGCCTGGATCCTTTCAATGACTTATGCATTCTTTTGTGTAGTCGTCTAACTTCTTTGACATTCTCCTTTTAAATTTAGTAGCAACAATTTACCACTCGATATTATTGCGAAAACAGTGCGAGTCTAAGCATGATATTCATCGTTACTATTCCGCTGCCATTCTCAAAAGGATGTCAAGGGTTTGCTTACTAATATTCGTCTGTCTTTTCCGTCGTTCATCGATGCACCATGGCTCGTGACCGTCATAAACGGCCCGTTACTCAAAGACATGGCGCTCATGCTCTTCGACGAGCGGTTCCGAGTACATTCTTCTGAAGTTCTCTGTACTGTGGATTGTGTTCTCGTGATATTGTTCTAAGCCTTGATCGTCATCGATCCAAAATTCTGCTTCGCTACGCATATATGAGGCCACTATTCTGCACCATGGCGGAGAAATCGTATCGTAAAAGCCCTCAGGTCTCTGCGTGAAGTCTGCAGAGACTATGCTATTCCTTCTGACTTCCGCTCTGCTGTATCTCGCTCTCTCGGGTACTGCCCTTTCTGACGTAACCGCCAACTCACCGGACCATGCAAGACTGAGATCGTACCATAACCCGATCGTTAGTGGTTTTGCGCCTGATCCGTCCTGCACACGTGTTGGCGAGCAGTTCTTCTGTGTATCGAGCTCGTTTAGTGCTTTCCCAGGTATTCCTGTGTACACTTCTCGTGACTTGGTACAATTCCAACAGATCGGTGAGTATTGTCGTTTGCCTTCCTTGATGAAAACATCCATCCCGTAACGCAGTATTGGGTAAATGTCTAATTTGTTTGGCTGTGCCAGGCAATGTTTTATCGAGACCAGAGCAACTCCCGACTTTGAACACGATCAATACCCCTACTGGTGGCATTTGGGCATGCACTATTCGTCATCGTGAAGGCACATTTTATGTGACAACAACGCTGGTAATGGACTCCGAGCCTGAAGATTCGCCAGCGCTCTGGGATAACGTGTGTTCTGAATTACATAATCCCAGATAAATGCAAGTTGATCCTTGGTATGCAGCTTCTCTTCACGACAAAGGACATCTTCGCAAACAATGGTAATGGCTGGTCCGATCCCGTACATTTCTCTTTCCAGGGCTACGATACATCGCTGTTCTGGGACGACGATGGTACACCATATATTCAAGGTTCTCACTACTGGCGTATCTTCCCCGGAATACAACTATTCGCCATTGATTTGGCAACTGGTGAAAGTGTCAGCGGTGAACCAGTAACACTTTGGGCCGGAACTGGGGGTGAGGTGCGTGTATTCGGAAAGCAGAACGACATCGGTACATCTTTTCACGATCCATTTAGGCACCTGAAGGTCCGCATATATACAGACGAGACGATGGATATTACTTGTTGGTAGCTGAAGGTAAAAAACTAACCTTGCGAAGCGTGGGGTTCTCTTTGCTTATCCGGTCCTTAGGTGGAACGGGTCTTGGTCATATGGTCACGTAAGCATCGCTTCTTGTCGTGCCTATAGACGAGGTCTAATTGTATCTAATTGCAATACGATATGTACCTCGTAAGTATGGCACGGTCTCCAAATGTCACAGGTCCATATACTTCCTATGCGAACAACCCAGTAATGACAAACGCCAACACTTCCTTGTATTGTTAGTCGTCTCCCTATACAGAGAAGAAAGAATTTTCATTGACATATCGAACTTGTCATGAAGTGCAGACACTAGGGCACGCAGATGTGTTCAATGACACCGCGGGGAACTGGTGGTCCGTCGCGCTTGCGACAAGGAATGGAATTGTCAACTTGTGCGTCTCCTTATGTCTTTATGAGGAAGAGGAAGGAATGCTAATTGCTTCCTCGTTCAGCCCAATGGGACGGGAAACTGTCCTTGTACCCGTCGTATGGGAGGAAGGTAGGCTTCGCTATTCAAATTTATCAGTGCGGTTATTAAACCGAAGCTTTGCGCGCGCAGGCGAGTTTCCGATGTTCAATAATGCCACTCCAGGGCACGCATACATCAACATGACCGGTCCTCTCCCTCCTCCACAGCACGTACGTTTATCTACATCCTACATCAGAACCTGTTTACTCAATTATATGTCCTTTGAAGCCGACGAATCACGATGTAACCGATCCGCTCGTTGGACACTCCCAGCATATTACCTTCCCTTCCACTCCAAACGCTTCGCTCTCCGAATTACCTCGCCAGCTTGTGTACTATCGCTTCCCATACTTCTCGCGGTTCACTGTCTCGCCAGAAGGGTATCCGAATACTCTGCGAATCATGGGTTCGACAGAGAATATCACTGGGAATGGCGGTGTTGGCACGAGCACGTTCATATCACGGCGGCAAGATGCTGTTGAATTCACTGCAGAGTCAACTTTGGAGTTCGCACCAGATCTGAGTGATTCGGATGTGGAAAGCGAAGAAGCGGGAATGACGTTGTTCATCCAAAGGATGCAGCATTTCGATATGGGAGTCGTCGTGGAACGTAATGTGTCAGATAGCAGTCGATTGCAGAAGTTCATCCAGTTGAAGACTATCGACGTAAACGCGAGCGCAGGTGGATTGAGTGACGTATATTCACGACCTGGGTTATTCCCGCTCACGGACGACGTGGAGAAGCTGAGGCTTCGCGTCCAGGCAGTGAACGCGTCTACATACGTCTTCTCTTATATCGAGCTAAAGAACGGTACAATGGCAAACGAGAATAACTGGACAATTGTTGGATATGGAGCGGCAAGAGAAGTTAGTGGGGGTTTTACTGGCGTACGTGCATATCTCCTCTGTCAGACCTTCGCATGGTGTTTACTAATGAGGGCATCTAAAGACGCTTGTCGGGATGTATGCCACAGGAAACGGGCACAACTCGATAACGCCGGCATATTTCAGCGATTTCACGTATGATCCAGTGCAGGGCGTATTTTAGAATTTGTTTCCAAAACGAGTGCTCAGCCGATCAGCCTCCTTGTAAATTGTATAAGGCATGGTATTATGACCGAATAAGGTACAAAAAAATTGGACGCAAAGCGACTTTTCATTGAAATGCACTGTTGCATCAACTGCTTATTCGTCTAATTTCTCCGTAATACTCCTTTTCTGTTTAGCATTTATAATATGAGCAATATGCACGCGTTCGAAGAAACTTGCAGACTTACACCATATGTCGTTTCCTTACCCGTATTGTCGTTCTCAATAGTGTATGTCTTGTGCTAAGTACAACATTGCTTAATTTCAATCAGGAAGCAAACAATGCAGGTGGGTGTTTACATCCAGATCACCCTTCCTCGGCTTCTCGTGGACACGAGTTACTTCGCCAGTTGCCTGGCTTTTCGCATTCTTGGGATCAGCTGCATGCATAATTGCCGAAATTCCGATCAGAGTGCGCTTTACCAAAACATCAAAATTTATTACCAGAGAGTAGTTACTTACGCGCTTGATGATATGGAGCATATTTGACGTGGTCTCCTTCCTATATCGCCAATATAAAGGTGAAAATGAGTATTTCGACGAACAACGAAAGAGTACACTTGAACTTACGTGGATTTCGTCGGCCATACTGTGTGAAGAGTGCTCTCGTATCTAGACTCTTAGGTTATAGTGACAGTGTATATGATGGATGGAAATTCAAGGCAAAGTGTTTACCGAGCGAATTTAAGTCTGGCGAGTCGTTATTAGGCACGTCAGGGATGACGTCATTATTGACAAAAGGTAAAAAGGTAATTTATCGAAATTGGAGTATCGGCACGCTTGTCTATCCCGCTCAATGACCCGTCGATGTCCTCTGCTCAATCATATCAAGCAATATTGATGGTGTTTATTTTGATTGTAGAAAAGCTATGGACACGAAAGTTGGTACAGTATAAGGGACAAATGGACGAGATTACTTCATCAGAATTCGAGAATTGTAACCAAAACAGTGATGTTTAAAGATACTGTGTGTTAATCATCCAGTTTCTCCGTTACGTATTTTTGCTGTTGGAATCTCATTAGAATACACATTTTTAGTTACAGAAGAGACATTAACGAACGCACACTGTAATACGCTTCTTTCCCAGTGTTGTCGTTCTGAATCGTATATGTCTTATGCTGTGAGAAAATCAAACCGAATGATGAATACAAGTTCGTAGTGCATCGATGCACCCTTAGATCAGACAGGGAAACAGATATCCATACCTCTGGGTCTTCTTTCTTTGGTCTGTCATGAACAGCCTTTACTTCTCCCGTTGACTGATTCGCAGTTTCAGGATCAGCTATTATGGTTGAAGTTTAGTACACAAGGTGTGGTTGAAGAGGTACGATTATTATTTAGCCAAAATCAGCGGTATGATGGTTCGTATCACATACCGACACGATGGAATGGTGCGTATTTGACATGGTCCCCCTCCTGCTCAGGCAGTATATTTATCAATGAGCGTCATGTCTAGTTCTAACTTAAAATTGTTGACAAGCTCACTTGAATATCAGACATTTCTCCAGATTGAGCAAGACTTTTTATGAGCAATAAGAGGCTTCCTGACCTGAGGAAGTTGTGATAGAATGATGGTGTTGTCCAAGTAAGAAAGTGGAAACCGGAAGCTAGGTTTAGTTCCGTTCTCTTTTGCATCCAGTGCAAATGTAGATACGTCAAAAATGATGTCATGCAGGTAGCGGAAGGACTACCAACCGATGGTTCAGAATTAGGCACTACCGTGACGTTCCCTGCCCTTGCAATAAACTGGATGATAGAAACACTACATACATGTAAATATTGTACATTGGGCAAAGCTCAGTGTGCATACTGTACTATCCAGCTACCTGTATATTACTGGTTTCATATCAGCATTCATTCTTCGCTGATTCGAGAAGTAGCTTGATGTCCACTTATAATAATTAGTCCCCTTTCTGTTACTGTTATTCCAATAATTGTTACTCTGTACCACTAAAAGTGAGGGAAATATGCATCATAAATTCGTCAATTAGAGAACATTTAGCGACTAATTGGTCTGGGTGGGTGTGTATCATTTGGTTGGATCCTACAGATGTCAGTAGCAACTTCATCTGAAGCGTCTTGCTTTTGGATCCTTCTGATGCGTGAATTTAATGATAAGTCAATACAAGAAATGATATAGCATTTACAAAAGGTGTAAATGGCCTTTCTACGTGTACGACAGGTTTCGACTTGACAGTAACTGTATACATGATAGCTATAGAAGGAAACGGAATATTCTTTGTCTTTACCTGGAAATTAAATGAAAACAGAAAAGCTTGATTCATGCTTAAGGATGAATTTGATAGGGCTCCAATAATAGGTATGATATTGGAAACTGTGTCAGGTTCTCATTTCACCTGTCAAACTCTTGTCCGCTTAAGAGATTGCCCTGTTTGACTACCCGGCGTGACACAATGTTCATTTCGGGCTGTCATAAATTGTGATATTGGGGGACACTCTGATTAACGGAGCACCTAACGGCGAGGGGAAAAGATATTCATACAACCGCTTGGACACTCACTCCTTCCGAGGAATTTGTTCCCGAACGCAAACACACAATAATGGTTAATTGCAAATGTCTTAATAAGTTTTCTTTTATCTGGCGGTGAGCAATGTCGCGGGTGCTAGGACCTGAAACCCTTTCATGATTGACGTTGACTGGCGTGGATATTGTTATAGCCTCTGCCTAGAGCTCTCTAGAGCAACCGATGCTGGTCCAAGGGTACCTGACAGCCTTAAGAAAAGGATGGCTCCGAGACGTTGAGTGCTGAGACCGCGGCGTAAGCTTCCATTAGCGTTGATCCATCCACGCGGTCGACGACGAGTTGTTCTGGCCACCGCCACAGCAGATCAGTTGTGGTCAGTTGTGTCGTTCAATGCCAAGTTTGAACCTTAAAAATTCCTGATAACTCGGAGCCGTAGCTGACAAAGGCGCCGTGCCGTCGGTAGTTTTTGTATTCAGTACCAGTCGGTCCTAAGCTTGCACGAGGCCATCCATGACAGTCACAGAGTAAAAATCTAAAGATCCTGATTGACGAATATGTTTAGCACAGTTCAAGGCGCAACGCGCTGCAGTATATGGACAACATCTTAAGGAAGAGATGCTTCCGCCGATTTCTCCTTTGAATGGCGTAAAGTCCGTGGTGCTCCTAAAATAGACTATAATGAGCAGTACTCTCAGGTCCGTACGGCAGTGCGACCATCGGAGCCGATATCAGGGAATGCTTCCGTGCAATCAAGGTTCGAGGCTTCGAGCAAAATGAAACCCGTGGCATCGTTCCCGAACTGAAGTGGTGGTGGTCATATCACAGAAGGTTAGTAAGGGAAATCATGAAGAGTATCGGAGCGGCGAGAAGACGCGTTCGCTTTACCCAAAACGGAAGACTATAATCTAATGAAGTTGGTGCCAGGTTCTGCTAAACGATAAAGAAGTGCGATAGGTCGGGACTTCACGTGACAGATTCACGTACACACATCCAAATAATCCGGCAAAGAGCGACAAGGTCAGACTTGGTGCCGTACTTGACACTGACAGTTCCTTGTTGTTTCAACTCCCCCTACAATCCACAGGCGAAAATAATATGAGGCCGCACGTATCAAATTGCGTTCGTATCTGCGATCTTGCTTCACCCTGGAACCTCTTCTCCGAGGCAGAAGACACGGGGAAACTTATGTATAGATGAGATCGTATCTGCGTGAATAGTGACTTCACTTCAGACCCGCGCATCGGCGACATTAGCCTTATTTATTTAGACTTCCTATAGGACTTGTACACCGGCCCGTGGCGTCCTCTGCAATTAGACAGTATCGCGCGAAGGTAAGGATCGGAAAATGCAAGCATCCGGTAGACTTTGTTCCATCTCATCGTGATTCGCAGTCTAGAACCATTGGCCACAAGCACGTTGTATCCGTATAGATCAACTCGCGCGGTCCCTCGCACCAGGGCGCATGCAGTGCAAGAAGGCTTCTTCCCGACGCTGACAAAGCCTACCGGAGATGCGGCCATAGCTTGCTTCAAGGCATACGCTGGGGCGACGTGAAGCATGTCACACAGAAGCACGGCTGTGGAAGCACGCTGTATACATAAATCGTGGATTTAATGCACCAATGTCATTGTTATACCCATAATGAAAAATAACTCACACCAAAGCAGGTACAAGAATACCTTCATGCGAAGGATCTCCGAGGAATATTATTAAAGCGCTCGCCGCATCGCATTGCATTGAAAATAGCAGAATCCACCTAGAGCGCTTCACTAGTCAATATATGTGTCTTTTTTACGCACACGCGCATTATTCCACTGTCGCTTAGACGACAGCTCATGTTAACGGAGTGCGGCACATTAACCGAGACACGGCGGCGATGGGATCCGCAAGAGTTGCACAGCAATGCGCACTTTACCTCAATGCAGGAGATGACGCACATGTTTGGCGGCGACGGCTTTCAATGCATTTGATGCGTGATGAGTATTACCCATGAGCGGCGTTGCTGTGAGACAATGCCATGGACTGAAGCCGTACATACCGGGAATGCACCCGCGGTAATTAAACACGCCCGACGTTTCGTGCTTGGTTTGACGGCGGTGTCCCGTAAGAGGACCAATATTTGCCAATACGGAACGAGGGCATACGCATCGCGGAGATCCATTCGTTCCTTTCTTGGAAAGCCATTGAGCTGTACGAATTTCAAATAAATGTTCGGTGATAAAATTGTCTTCTGGCTCTGAAGTGAGTGCTTCGAGATCGACTTTGCTTCGATCCCTCAGTTTAGTCGGTGGACGATTGCATTAATGGTAAGAATGACTGTATTCTGACTCCATTGCAGTCAAGCTGGGGCTGTTGTGACGACTGATAAATAAATATGTTTGGATATCCAGAGAAGACTTGTAAGCGTAATTCGCCAGTTTTTCAAACGTAAACAGAATTACGAATGCCAAGACAAAGCAACACAACGAGCAAGCCATAACTACCTAGCATCGCAATGATTTTTTTCTTGGGCCCAACCGATAGGAAATGGAAGCCACAAGGCAGATAGGCATAGATAAGGATGAGAATAATAGACCAGAAAATTGAAAATGTGGCGTATTGATAGAGTATCTTGGAGAGTTTACATTCGGGGCAAAATGCGAAATATCCGTTTTGGAGAAGAAGATCGAAGCCTGCTCGAGAGTGGTGATAGCATTCGGAATGAGTCTCATCCGATGAATAAGATTTAGAGGATTCTGCAAGTCCTTAGCAAGTTTGGACAGCCGTCGCCGACGCCGGCGCCCATACTAGTGTCAGTTTCAGTAATTTATCCAGATGCTTCAGTAGTTCGGATGGGATTGCTGGTTCCTGGAATCGAGACCCTCCTGGGCAAGAAATGTGAAGAATGTTACAGTGGTTCCCGCCGCACGACAGTTGACTGTTAATAGTAAGATTGTTGGCAATGTAGACTGGCTCTAAGCCCGATCGGTGAACGTGCCACAGGCTGGAGGATGCAAAAGCTTCATGAATTGAAGTATACGTCTCAATGAAGTCACTAGCAAGAAGAGTTTTGGCATTTAGAGAATCATGCACCACGGGGATAATGTCCTGATTTGAAATTATTCTGGTAGCAAGGCCCAGAAAACAGGGTGATCATTTGTTTCAAAGAGAGAGCATATGCGTCTCTCCAAATCCGTGGGACGAGTCACCAAGAACACTCAGATCCAAGGTAAGCTGGTGGATTTTGCTGGGAAGCCTTCCCAGTCCAGCGGCATGGATTAACTTCGGCAACCAGCAATTTCCAATTCCAGATACCTTCTGAGACATTTGAAAATCAAGCACGAAATCATTGAGCGATAGACCTTACAAATAACCCAGTTTGGAGTACGCCTTTCGCCACTGAAAGGAGGCTAGAACTCAGTAGAGATACTTGGAAGTTAAGGCATACTCTACAATCAACTGGAGCGCGAAGCTTTTCGTCCCGCTTCTGCTTCAGACCACGTAGACCACGCCTTTCACAGGCCAACCATCGGCAGCTTATCTCCGCAGAAGATATTATCTAGCAAGAAGGCGCCAAGCTCATCAAGGAAAATCAGCTTACACGGCTCGCTTGACTCGAAATTACAGTGCGAAGTTCCTTTAGCAGCTAACCGAGAATAACAGAAAACATGCGGATGACGATAGGCCTTCACGTGTGAACTGCAAGTGCGCAGTGAGAATGTAGTCTCTTGCAGGGTATAGTAGATCAGTGGCGGAGCCGCTGTGGGATACTCTGTGCGCCGAGATGCCGCGAGCTTTCGTTGAACCGATAGATTGTGTAGGCGCCCATCGGTATGGGTTATGTCCAACAAATCAGGGTACCAAAGAGGTGGAGACTCTATGAGATACTCCCAGCTGATAGGAATAGTAAGAAGTACCAAAAAATACTCACTTTTTTTGACTGATATGCTGTAACGTGATGGCGGACAATCCCATCCCCGATCAAGGACATTCGGAATCCACTTGTACGTTTGACTGTTCCGCGTTATTCCGTGTAATGAATGAAAGAATATCATTCATGGTCCACAGAGCAAGTCCTAGAAGGAGCCACACTCAGCTTTCCGGGTAGCAAGACTCTCAGAGTCTCAGATCCGCTGAGATTCAAGCTCTAAGAAACTACAAAGGTTTTACTTCAACATTTGGAGTTCCGATAAAGAAAAGGTTTCAATTTTGTCTACTTCCTTTTCATACGTTCCCGTGTGGCCGTAAGGGTAATCTCAGATGAATAGGAAAAGACTTGTTCACGTCGGCTAGACGCCACATTGTTGTTCCTTAAATTTCCGACTGAAGAGTTGAGAAGGAATTCTCTATGATTGCGACTGCGTATCATACCTGCTTTGCCCGCGAGCCTTGCAATCGAGAAAAACGTCCGATTGGAAGAATTTGTCATATATTTTGAAGGCGCGCAGTCTGCTGCGGGATTCGCATGAAGATTAATTCCGAGTCGCCAACGACGGCTCCTCATTCATCCTCCAATTGCAGGAGCGTCTTTCGGGTCCGTACGACGGATATGAGCTCTCAGAGTTGAGCCTCGACGGAAAAGATACCCTTATTGATGTTGAGAAAAGCACAAACGTGATATCTCGCAGCTTCGAAATTAGTAGTTGCATCCGGAGTAATCATCAACATTACCCACGACGACGCCGGAGGAACACCCTTAGCCATCCATCCAGCTCGGATTGAACCAGAGTGCCGACAGAAGCACATGGGTCGTAAGCGCTTGCAACTCACGGCAGTTCACAGAGGATGACAATGTCAAAGCAGCACAGCATGTTAGTCCCAAATTGCCCTGAGAGAAGAGGATCATGACTTGGAGCATAGTTTTGTTTACCACAATCATGCCGACATCAACAGGAACATAACGTCAAAGAATCCGTCACTGGACACGGACACGGTAGGGTTGAGTCTCCAGAAGAGGACAAGGTACGGGAAAATTTTCTTCATTCCGTTCTCACCGTATGAGAGAAAGGCGGGATGATTGGGAGGGTTGGTGTGAAGTCAGGCTAAGCCTGAGGGCAACCCGGTTAGACTAAGGCCGATCACCGACACATTTGGAAATGATCGGCATGTTACCTTTTCTGTAGTCTAACTTTCTCTCCTCCGTAACCCAACTGCTTTTTGCCTCCACGTCTCATGTTGCCGTCTCAGTCGGGCCCGATTTGCTGCCGCTTTCGTTTCTTTGCGCGATTGCAAACGGACGACCAAGATAACTGCTCTCTATTGAGATCACTTGTGAAGCTAGAAAAGCTTAGAACGGATGTGCTGGCAAGCGCAAAGGGATAGACAGGGCTCTGGTGTCCCTTCAAAATAATATATTGAAATCTCGAACAAACAAACTATATTCCGAAGGTATGAGGTAATTGTTTTTCTACTTTACACAAGTGTCCGCAAATGTACTCACAGCCCTGATTGCCAGACCCGATAACGTTTCCACGAGCGGTGTCTCCTGAGACGCATCAGTGGACCCGCAATCCAGAATGCGATGCCTCCTCGCATACATCTCGGAGCCAGGTCCCGCAGTACTTAAGCACCTCGGTTTACTCTCGGAGGCTACCCACGACTCCGCTCGCCTTCCTTCCCTAACCTAGCCTACAGGTCTTATCCAACCGCTAATAAATCCTCCTTCGAGTCGTCAGTCCTCTTTGACTCCCAATTCCCACTCTTTTTCTCCCGTCGGTTCTCTCCTCAATGGCGAACAGCGAGCAAGCTCTTCACGATGCTGAGCGGGGTGTAGCTGAACAGGTCTATGCCGTAGACCTCCCGATGCCTCCTTCACTCACTGCATCTGAGGGACCTACTCGGATTAATTCCGTCGCTGACCTGAAAGATCTGCCACCACCTCTCCCAACCTCGGACGAGAAACCACTCGCATCAGAGAAGAAGGTTGAAACCGTCACTGTGGCGAAGGAAGTGTCTACTGCCGTGAAGAAGCCCTCTCCGCCGAAGCCAAAGTGGAAGCGTGCAAGTCGCTGGGTACGCTTCAAGCTTTGGTACAACACCTACCGGTGGGTATTTTGATTTGTACCTTAGTGGGCTTGTTCTTAATCCAGCTTCTTCCAGCAAATTCTTCACCGTTGTTGTCACATTAAACGCTATTGGCCTCCTATTAGCCGCTCTCAACGTTTGGACTTACCCTCGTCACTACACTGGTGCATTTATCCTCGGGAACCTTTTAACTGCGATCCTTGTACGAAATGAACTATTTGGGCGCTTCTTGTACCTTGTCATCAATACTTGCTTCGCCAAGGTAGAGCTCATTTTTGCCTTATGTTGACGTCTGCATAGTAATAACTAATTGTTGATTTATAGTGGACTCCCCTCTGGTGGCGCTTGGGATGCACCTCTGTGCTACAACATCTAGGAGGTATCCACAGTGGCTGTGCGACCTCTGGTTGCGCTTGGATCATATTCCGTGTTGTTTTAATCTTCATCAACCACAAGAACACTCACGACGCCATTCTCATCACTGGAGTGACCACGAACATCTTCATCTGCATTTCCATTCTTAGTGCCTTCCCATGGGTCCGTAACACGCACCACAAGTGAGTACAAATCGCAGGTCGACTCCACCACCTCCCGTGTAGTATTGTCCCTACGCGTATTTCTCCTCGCGCCCAGTAGACCCTTCCGCTGTCTACATGTGCTCCATGCCGCGCTCTGTCTTTTTGATACCCGAGCTGCGCATTTGTTCACTGGACGGCCAAAAATGGCCTTTAATATATTATTTTCCCACGCTTTGCACACTTTGAAACGTACAAGTTACTGACATACCACCTGTTTTTCCCAGCATGTTCGAGCGTCATCATCGTTTCATCGGCTGGTGAGTTCAATGCGACTCTTTCAATTTCAAACGCGTTCCTGACTGCTTGTTTTTCACAGGCTTGGTCTTCTGTCGTAAGTACATGTTTCCGGCACAGTCACCCACACTTCCGCGTACCGCTATACTGTATCCACAATCTTTATACTGACTCGTGCTTTCCCGCGATACAGTACATGGGTATTTGTCGTCCTTGGTGAGTCACGCCTTCTCTGTTGATCGCAGTTTCTTTGTCCTAATCGCGTCTACAATCTTTTCCCCCGCTCTCATCATTCCTCGAAACGATAGGTGACATCTATGACCCGAATACAAGGCAATGGGATCCGAATGGTACCCACATGATCAAGCAGCAAGACTTCTGGTTCGTTTTTGGCATGACGGTATTCATCCTCATTCCGTGGTTTACGGTACGAGAGGTCAAGGTCGACATTGAGATTGTGAGCACAGGTTTTGTTCTATATCTTATCGATGCTTGTATTAATTAGTCCGTGACAGCCTTCACCAAAAGTTGCCGTCCTTCGCTTTGAGCGGGGTATGCAGCAGGGCCTTCTCGCCCGCATCAGTCGCTCGTCCATTATGGAGGTATGCACCGCATTAATTTCGACATTAACGTGTACCAATTATTAATTACCATCTCGCAGTATCACGCTTTTGGTATTATCTCTGAGGGGACGCACGCAAAGTACCACTACCTTATTTGCGGTGTACAGGGCGACTTCACCCGTTCACTCGTCAATGATCCGCCCACTCATATTTGGACTCGTCAACTCAAATTCGCCGGTGTTTCAAACACCTCGACGCTCTACAAGCGTGGTATCCGTGTTTGCACCGGAACAGGTCTCGGCGCCGCCCTTTCGACTTGTATTCAGTCTCCCAACTGGTATCTCATCTGGATCGGGAGCGACCAGGAGAAGACGTTCGGGCCGACGATTGCTGGCCTTATTCATAGGCACGTCGAACCCGAACGACTATGCCTTTGGGATTCTAAGCAGCGTGGAGGCCGCCCTGACGTGATGAAACTCGTTCGCGATGCCTACCACTCCTGGAAGGCTGAAGTTGTCTTTATCACGTCAAACTACCAAGGTAACCAGGAGATTATGGAAGGTTGCAAAACGGAAGGTATTCCGGCCTTCGTAAGTCGTTCTTTGTCCTCCTGAACGCCTTCTGAATGACTGCTCGCTCTAGGGAACTCTCTGGGATTTCTGATGGATTAGTCTCATTCTTTATTTCCCATAATCTTATTTTATTACCACGCACTGCACGTCCCCGATGCAAACGGACTACTTTATTCTGTCTAAGTAAATAATCTGGAAGTTGGAATTACTCCTGTAACTTTCTATTGCTGTGTCTTATCCTTATCCAACGTAGAAGCCGTACTACGTTGTTCCCATCCTCACATCCGCATACTCAAGTGGCGGGTGCCGCACATTCTTATTTCTCCGCACAATCGCAAATGTTCACACTGTATACAGCTCTGCGAGCGATCTCTCTATTGCTTTGCTCCCATAGCCAAATTCTCTTCTTCATTAACGTGTCTTCTCGCTGTCGTCACCGCATATCTCGTGCCTATTATTCCGATGTTTTAGAGTTAAAAACAATTGAATGGAATGTATCTCAATAGACTCTTCCGAAGTCGGACCGCAATCGTAGCGGAACAGTATCTTTTCCCATCGAGCAGCTGAATGTGGAGCCCCGATCTGTGTCATGTAAGTACCTGCCCAGCAGGAAATGGTGGTCAGTAGATCGACCCGGAAGCTACTCACTCTTCCATAGCTCTTCTTCAGCGATGAAATCGACATTACCGATGTGCAATTTGCCTCCGTGTGAGGATCAGGAATAATTCGCAAGACAATAGGGCCCCGCATTACCCGAAGTTTTTTGACGGACTAAAACATGTGGTGAATTGTGCAACCCCGAGGTAAGTGGCCCTCATGCTACCACCACTATCTGTGTGATTCATACTCGTGCTTCTCTCCCATTTGACGCTGAGATTCCGGATAAGGAAGGCAGGTTTCTCTATTTGGCAATACAACATCTGCTCAAGTTTTTTCCGACAACCGCGACTTCGCATTTGCCTATCTATGATCAACAGAGCAGCCACTACTTGGCTCACCTCTGTATTCAGTTTTCGACAGTTTTACGGAACTAATCAAAGCCTAGAGCGCTTATCTTTCGATTCATTCATGTCTTTCAAACCCGCGGCCGCAGCAGCAGGCGTTCCTGCTCGTAGCCAAGCTTTGCATACTTCATCACCAACGCTCGGTTTTGATGCAGGTCCGTTGGTGTGGATTGATCTTGAAATGACAGGGCTAGACGCTCGAACGGATGATATTATGGAGATTGCAGTACGTCATCACGACTTTCATTGAATTGTGGTTTTCTGTGACACATGGGAACATGCGTTTTGTTCGGCGTTCCTAGGTAATAATAACGGACGGTAATCTTACACCTGTTGATGATGGAATTGAGTATGTGGTCAAGGTCGACAGGGAGCGGCTTGACAGGTAACGCGCTCCAAGAAATGGATCTTCGCTCTCTTCTTTTGTTCATCTTTGTTTTTATAGGATGGATGAGTGGTGCACCCGACAACATGGTTCTGTGAGTTTTCCTCTAAAACGTGTTTATCCTACTTTTGCATCTGAGACAGTTGAACTCATCGTGGAAATCGATCTGTTTTACGTCGTAGACTGGGCTCACACAGGCATGTTTGGCATCGTCAAACACCCTCTCGTCCGTGGAAAGTATGGTTCTTGATTATGTCCAAAAATACATTCCGGAGAGGAAAGTGGGTGTACTTGCAGGAAATTCTGTGCATGTTGATCGGATGTTCCTCTCGGAACGAATGCCACGTCTACTTGAATACCTTCATTACCGGTAAGCTTCCCAGAAGATCCTTCATTACAAGGACGTCTGTTTTAAGCACTGAGTCTCTAGTCAGGATTGTAGGTAAGTATCAGAAGACTTACTACAAATTAATGTGAAATTGAAGGACTAGTAAAGATGTTTCAAGTATAAAGGTTCGGCGCCCCTTTTCGTTATCGATACCGAACTAGGTGACTGATTTATTTTGTCAGGAACTATGCCGTCGGTGGTATAATGGTTCCGTCGCACCTCCAATGGTGTCAGAAAACAATGCTCATAGGTCAATTAAGCAATTCAGTTGTATAAATCGGGTTCTCACAATGTTTTGTTTTTGCGTAGAGCATTGGATGACATCCGTGGGTCAATCAAAGGTATGAATTCAAATTATTGTTCCTAGGTCTTCCATGCTTTTTAGCTCTGATGTTGATATGCTGCTTTTCTCTGCTGCAGAGCTCCAATGGTATCGCGAACATATCTTTGTCAGCCCAGAGTCGTTCAAATTTTCTGGTACTCCGCCGAGTTCTACTGAGAGCCACTGACGTATTGTTCGCGAAAACATATCACTGTTGCAGCTCGTCATACCATACCTTCTATACGTATTGCCACCGCAAACCTCAAAGTATTAGTCCACCCTACGACATTGTTCACTATTTGTTTTCTGCGGCAATACCTCGGCGCTCCAGTTCATCTTCATCTCAGGAACACATTTATGCGGCTCAATAGCTCCCACTTAAGCTAGGAGTTACCGGATGATGATGATCTTCAAAGGACTTGAAATGCATCCGGCGTATCTCGCCCTTCAACAGTTCTAATGATGCAATACCCTTTTCTATAAGGAGCGAAGGAGAGCACTTCCATGGTTCTGATTCATCTACATTTTGACTGCTACCTCCGAATTTCTACCGCTCTCGCAGGATAGCTAAGGTCTCGCCGACATCTTGGCCAGTTGATCGGAAAATAGGAATCTTACCGGCAGTTTCTGTTCCGTACTGATTTTAACACGCTTTTGCTTCTAAGTGCCGCCTTGCTATGCAGAAATACTCCCGAGTCTTCCGCTTCAGAGTCAACCGGAAATTGGTTTGCAATACGAGCACGTTTCAGCGGCTCGGGGTACCTAGAACAGGAAACTATACTGACTTCACTTCGTATCCGATATTCCGACGAGGAAGTAGTTAACGGTTCCTTGTGCAGGATAACAGCTTGTGGCAAGCAACGGGATCTTTGAATTACTGGGACTAGGATTGGACCCGGCTTAGTGACCGATTCTACCCCTTACATTCATGCTGTGCGTCAAATTTACTGTCAAATGCGTGTACTCTACTCTGCTCAGACTGGTGAGTTACTTAATTGGTAAATAAAAAATGTTGAACTTGAAATTATCACTGAATAGAATCAATCGAAGGGTAAAACACTGCTTGTGCCTCGGCTTAGGGGCGCATATAAATAGCCTTCATTACTTCAGCAACCGTACAGATTATTCCTCACCGGACAGGCGGTACTTTTCATTGATGATCTGACATAGTTACCCTGCATGAACTGATATCTTATTAAGTTTAGAAGTACTAGGTTTAGAAGGCTACAAGGTTACATTTTTCCCTGACACGGCTTCGGTTCTGTCGCAGCTTCCTCTTGTTCGTGCCGGGTGGCGTGTCATAGAATTCCGGGACAATGTTTAGTATTCAAGGATGCAGGAAACGAACTCAACAACAGGGCCATCTACAACAAAGGAATACCACTGATGCACTGCCAGCTTCCTCTCCGGACCGAACGGATAACTCAGAAATGTTCTTTAGCTCCATACTTTGCTTTGAAAGATCCCTATCCTGGCTTCCTCTATTCATCACTGAAGCAGGGTACGAACTCCTCTCCAAATATACGTTTGGAGAGAGTTATCTACCTTTTGCAGTGGACATAACGTATACAGGGTAATCAAGTTCTCCAAATCTTTCATGATGCTGTACCGCCATGTTTTTCGACATCAAGGCCTTGGTATGTGTCTCTCCAACGGGAAATATCTCACATATCGCATGCAGCGGTCCGGCCTGTTTGTCTTCGATTGACTGAGAGGCTGAGAGGAAGTAATTATTGTGCCTGTTTTAGGAGCATGCCGAGTCACTTTGCTTTGTGTGAGAGCGGGGCGGTGATGGTGGGAAGACGGTTCCGATCAACTCCTGCACGCGGCATGTTGAGTATATGGTGGGACTTTATGCATTGACTTCCTCCATTCAGGTGCTCCTGTCGATTGCTTCTCCCTAGGCTTTGAGCCTCGGCGCTTGTAGGTCAAATAACGCCAGAGCAGGATCTGAATCAATGTTTATTAGTGTCGATTTGCCTGTGGCCATACTGACACATTCGTTAAGGCAGTACGCTTGTCAAGTACAATGAATGGCGCGTACCGTGGGTCCATCTCTTCCGATTTGGGTGTATGATAAAAGTCCACGAGATGAACGAGATACGGTAGGATATAACAGATGCCCGTTGTAGTACGTGTACAATTGCCAGTGTTGGTAACAAGGATTCGACATATTCACCACCTCCCGTACTCACTCACTTCCCGCAATTCTGTTGTCCCGTATCAGCGTTGAAAATAGCATTTCTTGACTTTCGTCTTGCTTGATCTTAAAATCGCAATATTTACCAAACAGTGCTTTTCCATTTTTGAATTTCATCATGTATTTATGAAGGAAGGTATCACGTGCAGTCAATGTTTTCCATCAGGAACGTCCGTGTGCTATTCTGGAAAACGAACAATTGGGACTGTTGCCCAATTGTTCAAAGTGCCTTGAAGGCGTCTTCTTCGACTCGTACCTAGCAACGCTGACTTTCTGATGGACAGTGCCGACAAAAGGACGTGGAGGAGTATTTTATTTTGGCGTGCCAGTTGGCCTCGTCTAGACGACGAGCTGCTCAAAATAGGCAACATGATCTTCGGATACCGACGGAACAACGCCTTTGTGATGAGATATAAAGACCGCTTCGCATGCGACCACAATCCTAGTTGAAAGCGACGTCTGCCATGGCCTTTGCTGTCAGCTTCGTCGCCGCCGTTGCACTTGGTGCGGTCTGCGCTCGCGCGCAAACGCCGAACAGCTCGTTTCCCCACGTCTACTCCGGTCAGCCAAGTGGTGGTCTCAGCCCAGAGTGGCAGAACTGTGAGCCGCAATTTTCTCATCATGAATACGCGGAAATCCGACCTGGGATTATTCAAATTTTTTCTCTAGATTTTGAGGTGAAAGATAGTTTGCCGAATGTCACCTTTCCACTCACGCGAAGCTTCGCTGGCAACATACCCGTTAATCGACCGGGGCACGACAACGACACACTATTTTTCTGGGCTTTCGAAAAGGAGAATGGGTCGTTAACGACAAATGGAAGTACGGATCCTTGGTTGGTTTGGTTGCAGGGAGGGTGCGTTTCATTTGTTTTATCCGTTCGGCCGCTGCGCAGTCGTTCGCCGAATGTCTATCGATGGGATGCGTCTTGTACGCGTCTTGTACGTGATTCTTCGGTAGACAGGCTACGAACAGCGTGCTCCGTGTGTACCTCATTTTCTCAGAGTCTACCAAATTTGTGAACACCATTGCTAAAATGGATTTGCGCTGTTAGACCTGGTTCTTCCAGCATGGCCGGTTTGCTTCTCGAGGTAAATTCAGATCAAGTTTCCTTAACAAGCCTATTATTTAACTTATAATATATTAGAATGGGCCTCTGCGAGTACAAGACGATCTATCATTAAGAGCAAATAACTTTAGTTGGAATACGCTTGTTGACACTTTCTGGGTTGACAATCCCGTCGGAGTGGGTTTCGCAACTGCAGATGCCACAGGATACGGTAAGGCATCACAAATCTGTCCGAATTCTTAACTTATGCCTTCGTAGTCCTCGACGATGACCAGATGGGATCAGACTTTGTACAGTTCCTTTCCAACCTCGTCAAGGTATTCCCAAGTTTAGCAACTCGACCATTGATTATTGCTGGCGAGAGTTATGCTGGTCGATGGATTGTGAGTCCGTATAGAAAAATAATGAGCTTTGTAAAGTTAAAATTGCGCGATTACAGCCCTATGCTACGAAGACCATCTTCTCAACACCGAATGCACCGGTCAAACTCATGAAGATAGTCATTGGAGATGGTACAATCGGTGGCTTCCCAGCCTCACAGGACTCAACTGTCGTCTCGGTCATTGAGACATACCCGCAGGTAGTCGACTATGACACGGACGTGCTTAATTATTTCCGTGAACAGTAGGTGTCGACAGCACAGAATCCATACTGGACTGAATGTGCTAATTGATTGGTGATGATTAGGACTAATCTTTGTGGCTTCGACCTAAACTTAACATACCCGCAGACTAGTGGTCACTTCAAAGCACTGGTCTATCCATTACCAACAGATCCACTAAGCCCGCTTAACCCCTCCACTGCCGATCTCTCATCTCGCCGTCTGTATCGCTCTACCTCAACCAGACAGATGATGAAGCGCTCCATTGTCGAGTATGCTAAACGTACAACCGGCACACAGCTTGCGAAACGTGGTTTAGAGCAGAAGGCAAAGAGACTGGCATGGAAGCGTGATTTATCACTACGCTCGAACGGAACTATTGACTCGTGGTATGCGTGTTTCTTGCTCGACGAGCTCTATGACTATATGGTCAACTTTACATTGCCCTGGAGTTCGTTGTTCCCGATTGCCCAGCTAGCGTTCGTGCTAAGAAATTTTATGCAGGTCAAGACCCAACTGGGGCTGCACTTGACGTATATGACCTTACGGATGCGTTAGTAGTGAAGCCAGCAACGTCTCCGGGCAATATGCTTCCTCCTGTCTTCCTCAATGGTAGGCCTAATCTTCAGTTGATTCGGAAGCTCTTTCTGATGTGCAGACAGACGAACGGACAGTCGCTGCAATACACGCGCCAACCAGCAAGCAATGGATCGAGAGTGCCCAATATCCGTTCAATAGCTCGTTCATGCTGGGTGACATAAGTTAGTTTTTGGACCTCTCACGTTTAACTACATTACTGATACGGGATTTTCTTTCTCCTAAAGGTCCTGAGTACGCCCAAGTTTTACATTCTCATTTGCCCTCTCTTACACATAGAAACAGTCCGCAGGATTTCTTGAACGAGCTAGCAGCAAATGCTTCCGAACGTGGTGTAGGCATTGTACTCTACTCAGGGAACGATGACTCACTCCTCGCCCATCACGGAACTGAAGGTATGCTACCACGACTTGACTTATCTATACATCAAAATAACTATCTTTCTTCCTAGTGACCATCCAGAACACGACCTTCGGCGGCACTCAAGGTTTCGCTCGCAAACCTTCGACACCCTGGACAGACGATACAGGGAAATTCGCAGGCATCGTGCACCAGGAACGAAACTGGACATACGTCCTCTTCGACGGTGCATCGCATCTCGTCCCGCAAAAGACACCTGCAGCAGCATTCGTCTTCCTTCGGGAATTCGTTTTAGGAAACAATCAGACAGGCCTCGTTACCGATGCGTCGACGCCCGCAGTTGGTGGCGAAGTGTCTTCACTCGGGAACGGCTATTTACCGGGAAATTCAGTGGTGTTTGGAGGAAGCATATCGACGACAACGACGTTCACATACCCAGCTCCGACTATATCTGCATGGAACGCATTTGTGTCAAGCATGGTTAGTGTCGAGAATGCTGCTGCGACCGCGAGCAGCGCGTCACCCCTCTTTGCACCAAGCATTGGGCTGATTGCTATTCTGGCCACTTCGCTAGCCTATTTCACCACGTGCCGGCCTCTGGACTTTGCAATGCTTTGATAATTCTTGACGTTCCCTTCACGTTGTTCAATGCTACCTTTGGGATAAAATGCTTTGCCTATGAGACCAACTGTTTATTTATCTGTAATTTTTGTACCAATAGCCTGGTGCATGTATATCCGCTTTCGAACCCGCGCAAAACTGTACAACTACAATCAAGTTTTTGGAGATTGACGCCGTTCTATTGTGCCTCTCTAATCGGTACCTTATTTGTGCCACATTGCTTAAATCGCAATCGCGAGGGTAATTTGACCATCGTGCCTTTATCTCAGATTGGGTCCTGCACATTGCATTGTCGTTGAGTACGTTAAAGTCAATCATGGCCTATACCTTGACGTTACATCTCTCTTTGTGTGTTGACTGCTGCTTCCAGGTACTCAGTCACTCTCCTCTATCAAAGCCTAAGCGATATTATCAGTCGAAATAATCTCAGAATAATAATGGCTCGTGGGAATCGACATACTTCGCAATCACCTAGTACCTCTGGTACAGATCAAGGTCACACTCCAGCGAATCCTCCTCTTCCAGTAGACGATCTCAAAACAAACATTACTGATATGCTGTGGGCTTTGGAAGAAGATATTAAGGGAGTAGAGAAGCTGATCGGCATACTGCGTATGCCTTCACTTAAGGAGCGACCCTATGACAAAATTTGCAAGACCTGTCTAGATCCAGACCTGCATGCAGAGCTCAATAGAAGGATCGAGGAAACCCAAGCAGGGCATAAGGAGATAAAAGGGAAACTCAAACAGAAGATAAATAAGTTCAAAGATAAACAAAAAGAACTGGGAGAACTACGGAGCAGAGTTATCGCTGCTGCAGTTGAGGGTGACAAAGGTATTCTCGACAAACTTCGTAATACAGTAGATGAGGAAATAAGAAGAGCTTTCCCAGAAGGAGTTGCGGTTAGGGATCGGTAAGCGGAACCTACAACTCACACATCATAGTTACGAGCGTATGCAATGAAAGCAATGTTATAACTACTTATTTGGCAAAATTGCTGTGTGCAGGATTGTTATTGCTTACACAGGATGACCAGTTTCCCTTTTCAAATCACCTTGTGTGGAAAGGGTAGACACGCAAGAACAAGGGGCGAGGTGACGATTGACTGCTCAGTGTCTCTTGTCCTTATATTGTATGTATTCTAACTGAGACATTATGAAGTCATTGTCTTGTGATAAAGTCATCATCTTGTGATACTCCCCTTCAAACTCTTACTAGTCTGAGTAAACTGGTAAGATGTTTGACTTGTGGTACATATAGCACTTTTGTTAATATATCCACTCTTTGATTGTTTGTCTGTATGTATTTTGCATTTATGTACTCTAATTCAATATAGCATTTAATAAAATCTTTCTTATGATCTAAATGCTTTGTCTGTTCTGAGTATTTGAGTTTGTCTGATGTAACTGTTTGTATGACAGTATCATTATTGCAATAAATATTAATTGGTGCTTCAGAGACCTGCAGAATCTCTTCAGCTAAATGGGTAAGTGTGATTGTTTCTTGTGTTCCTCTTGTAAGAGCTATTAATTCAGCTTCATACATTGAATTTGCATCAGGAAAAAGTCCATTTAAATATAATGAATTACAGTCCATTTAAAGTAGTAGAAACATTTTATATACATTATAATATGACTGTAAGGGTTAGAACACAATTATAATACTAAAATAAGGAATATTAATGTATATAGGGACTCTAAAAGTGTTATAAATGATTAAAATTCATTGAATACATTATAATAACCTTAAATTACAAGCTAAAGTATTATACTTAGATTATAATTTTGAAAATAGTCTTATATTTACATTGTAAAACAGATTGTGTTATCTGTATAAGGGTTTCAACTACTTATAATATTTATATTACTGTATTTAGGAGAATATATACATACTAGAGTACTATTAGCTATATTATAAAGTAAATTTATACATTTATTTTACATCTAAATATAATAATTGATTTGTTTTACAGCTTTGCTACTATCATGAACATTGATTACATAATTGACTGCTGAAGATCAAGTGCTTATAATGATGCATTTGTCCTTGTCACTTCTTTATCTTATGCCTTCTAGGGATCTGAGTGTACTGTATACAGGTACAACTGTACTCTGTACAGGCCTGTACAGGGTACAGTTGTAAAAATACAACTGTTTTTTGAGTTCTAGGACACAAGTACAGCTACAGTGTGTACTGTATACAGCTGTATACAGTAATACACTTGTAAATACAAATTTAATATTATATTAATAGAAAGAAATAATTAATATACTTTAAAATTGTTAAAAAGGCCTATTGTTACTTTATATGTATGTTCCTATCAAATTAGTACTTGTTATACTCATTTTTATTAATATATTCAGTAAATCTGAAATATAATTTGTATGAAGTAATAAAAGATAGTCACATGACTAACTATTTTGAGAAGATAAATAATATAATATTAATACATTAACTCTAAGATTAGCTAAATTTGGTGTTTTTATGTATAAAAGGTATATTATAAGGTATACAAAGAGAAGAAATAGTTATAAATTGTGCTACACATGTTATTAATACTGAAAATCTTCTTTAAATGTCTGTACTCTGTATACAGTCATATATGACTGTATTTGGCCTAATAGGATACAGGATACAGCCTGTTTTATACAAGCTGTATTTGGTGTCTCAAAGTCTGGTACAAGTACAGATTGTATTATGACTGAAACAGGTTGTAACTGTACTATACAGTATGATTCAGATCTCTAATGCCTCCACTATCTTCTACAACTCTCTACCACCTGTTCAACACTAAGTTGCTACTTTTGTTTTCTCTAGTCTAGTCCTCTACCTACAAGCATCCTTATTTCTCTAAGTCTAACCCTCTGTCCTGACACTATGTTGTTACTTTTGTTCTTTCCAGCCTAGTCCTCTACTTGTAAGTGTCCTCTAGTAAGTACTCTAAGTACAACAACACAGACAATAAATACTACTATAACTTGTCTCTCTAATCTACTATTACAGTGCCTGTACTGAGCTTCAGATTCTATATTGTACTACTAAGCTAACTATACTGTCCTTCAACATAAAGTAGTAAGTAGCCAGTCTACTTTATAATTGCCTACATAATAGTTGCTCATCTCTCTCCTTCCAACTTCTTGTCTCCCTTCTATCCCTTCTGCTCCTTGTTCTACTACTTGTGTTGCCTCTCTGTTATTGTCCTTCTTTCCTTACACTCACCTTTTCATCTGTATCCACATTATTAACTAATACTGACCAACTTCTTTAATAACTCTATACATTTGTATACTTCTTCCTACTTTACAGTACAAGTAACAATCTACAAGTATGCTCACAACAATGTCTAGGTACAACCACTCCTATAGTACCCTGTCTTTGACACTGTACACACTCTCCTTCCCCACCTACTATTCTAAGCTTAACATGTCTTTATATTCCCTAGTACTGTTTATGACACTGTTTCAAATATTAGAAGTAGTGATTAACTACTTACTCCTTTACTGAGTCTGTCTATACTCTCTACTTTACTTTCTCTCTTTAAGCCAGAACCTTCTAGAGATACACCTTTACAGTTATTTATAATTACTCAACCTACTGTACTTCTGATTGTAAGACATAATCAGAGTATACAATGTGTACATACAAACACAGCTTTACTTATAGCCTAAATCAGCTTGTTTAACACTCTAGATCTCAACCCTGGTACACTACTCACACTTGCTTCACACTGTTACAGTGTGTTCATCTCCTCAATCTACTTATCTACTCATACTAATACTAACACTCATACTTACACTTTCAGCCAGTCAATCTTACAACCTGTGTCACAAGTACAATAGTAACCTCTACAACTTGTACAATCTTACAACCTACATACACACATAATTCAACTCATAGGGACAGAGTAATGACTAAAACATAGTAACAAAGACTATATTAAACAATCTGAAAATACATTCATCCTCTTTTATCACAAATGCTGTTTAAAAAAGAATAAGGCAGAGGCAGCTTGTTATACACTGTAAGTACTGTAAGTGTCTCTTTATCAGTATTTACTACTGATTCTGACAACTATAGTAAATCTGACTTGCCCTCTACTTATAGTTTACTGTATGGCTGCCCTTCAGATATTTGTACACAATATATAGTAGTGTGTATAAAGTGGAAATAGCAGACTTTGCTGATTTTAAGATGAGTAATACAGAGTGATCAAAAGGACAGAGTCAACTACAGACATAATTATAACTGTTGAGCTTCTTAATGCCCCTACTTTCTGATGGTCTGTCTGGATCTGGTCAAGGTATGAGCCTAGTAATTAATACCTGTAATACACTTGTTTACTACTTGAGTCTGGTCTGATCCCAACCTCTGCCTACTTGTATTCACATTATAGTAGACACAGACACTCTCACTCACTCTCTGTACAAATCTTAACACAGACTGTACTATGTATGTGTTTCAGGTTTATTTTCTTAATTATTGTAAATAGTAATGTATTATATAAATATTTTAATATAATTGATTTTTATTAATTTAATAATGAATGAATGTAAAGGAAAATTATTATCAAGAAGAAATAATAACTATATATAGTCTGTAAAACATTAGAAACATATATTATCCTTTTGAAATACAGAAATCCTTATAATACCTTTCAAAAAAGGGAGGTCTAATATTATACATTTTATATGTTTTAAAGGGGTATTATCCTTATGTACTTTTATTACATTTATAAACCTTATAGTACATTATACAATGTTATATGACTTTATTATAAATTGAGGTCTGATAATATGTAAATTACATTTTTTACATTTTTTACTTTTTTCACACTATTATATTGTAATATAACCTTTTAGACTTTTTCCCAATGTGCTACTAGTGTTTGTCTTTTACTCAACCATAAAACTAATGAATCACTCAAGTAAAATGTATATCCTGATATTACACAATACCCTTCTTGCATCATACTGTCTGTATCTGTATATCTGTTCAATATTGATTGATTTGTGCTACTAAGTTGGAACCAGACATTGTTCATAGTTTTTAAGTATATGTAACAATGCTTAAGTGCTAGATAATACTCTATACTAGGGTTATTAAGGTATTTTACTAACTGATTTGTTACAAATACTATAT